CCTGTTGCTAAGTTTTCAGCTGGATTTTTAAACTAAAGGTTTTGATTCCTCTATTTTCCTCACTGGTTTTATATCAGTCCAGAATAAATGCCTTAGAAGAAATCATTTGAAGTCATTTGCCCCGAACTTCAAGGTGAGCCCTGGGCAGAGCAGCCAGGGATAGAGCAGGCTCCTGCTCCCCATGGAGACTTCTTTTGCTGTCCTGGGCCATGTCCAGGCACTGAGAAAGGGATGACTTCTATCAAAAAAAAAAAAAAAAACCCAACAAAAACCACCAGCCATAAAAAGAGATTTGCTGAGTAGAAAGAATAAAGCAAAAAGGAAATGTTATAAAGACAACGTTATCTATTGCTGCCATGAAAATATTCTCAGGCGAGTGGGACATGGAGGTGGCAAGAAGAGCTTTTGGGCTTGTTCTTTCTCTTTTCTTCCCCTCATGTGAACATACCCTGTGCAACACATACACTATCAGTGATGTGACACAGAAGCGCAGCCTCTTGCCACTTGTAACAGCTGTATTCATCTCTCTGTGCTATTGTAGTGTCATCTGTGAAGTGTTAGCTAATGAAGGATTTCTCTAAGGAAATCAGTTTCTTAGGAAATTTCCTTGGAACACTGGTTCCCCTGGGAGACCAAGAGCGAGTGTTTGATTTCCCCAGAAATAGGAATCTCAAGTTCTGTACGTACAGAACAGAGATTATTTTTTTTTATAATAGGTTTCTTTCTTCTCCTGCAGACATGTTCACTGGCTTGAGAAACTGAAATATTTGTTTCTTTTCCTGCTATGTTGTTCCCCAGTAGATATTTGAATGTTACAAGCTGTCCATTTCTGTTCGTTCATGTGACTCATTAAATCTGTTTATTGCCATCACTAAATGGCAAACAAAAAGCAACAGATTAATCATAAATTTGACCTACTGTAAATCCCCCACAATGACAAATTACATGTGAACTCTTTTTTTTTTTTTCTGTGAGCAGACACAAACGCATCACTTGGTGAAGCAGAAATACAGAAAAATGAGAAATTACCAGAAAATGTGGACCTTAGTTTGACATCAAGCCTGTTTTCACAGAAGCATAATAAAGCCTGGAAATTTTGCATGATAGAGACAGGCAGTTTTTGTAGGTAGTTATACAACAGCAAAAAATGTGTCTAAGCTCTAGCTTTTACTTGTGTCTTTCCTCATAATTCAATGAGGTTCCAGTCAGACTTTGTCATGCACAGTGTTGAGTCAGGCAGAGTGAATAGGAAACACATAGTTAACAGGTGATGTTCAGTTCTTGGCTGACTTAAAAGGTCGCCTAGAAAATGACTCATGCTAAAAGGGTAGCAGCGGCAGAACTGTCTTGTAAAATACTCACAGTTTGAGCCTCAGCAGTTTCGAATTATAAGAACTCAAAGATCTTTCTCAAGCAGCTACTTCACAAGCCCCGGCTTTCCTGCTACACAAATTGTGAGGGCAGTATTTTACACATTCGCATGGGTTTGGAATTCCAAAACAGGAAATAGTAGTCGTGATTCTTTCTGCTGTTGTCAGTCTAGTGTCCTCATCCAAAAAAAAAAAAAAAAAAAGTGGATTAATTTCTGTCTCTGTTAAGTGAGTAGGAGAGTGTTATATCTTGATAAAGACCTACAGGCTCTGTAGGTTTCTTCTTCCAGCATCCTCAGTTAAACCCTGTGCAGTTTCTAGTATGGGAACCTCATTAGACTGCTGTTTAATAAGAGGCTGGCATTTCACCAAGCCGTGCAGAGGCCAGCACCATATGACTCCAGTGCTGGCTGACCTTGGTGTTTCTATCCAGGAGGTGCTCAAGATGTAAAACTTTTTACCTGCAAAGCCAAATATGCCCCAAGAGCTGCACGTGAAAGATGCTGTTTTGTACTGCAGGCAGTACTGCGAGAACCACTGCTAGCAGGCACGCTCTGTATAAAGCCCTGTATATCTTCAGATTTCTTTTTAAGGCTGGTGAAGCCTGAATCTCCTAAGAAATTGGTACCAAAAATCCACCAGCCGATATTGCGGTGGATGAGCTCTGAAGTCATATAGATACGCGTCTACTAGTACTTACGCTGTTTCCCCAAATGCGGTCTCTTTTCTGTTGGCAGAGAGCAGGCGCTGGGACAGCCTGTTGTTACATACCCTGCTTTGGAGAGCTAGGAGGAGAATTCCAGTTAACTTGTGCTTCTTCTTCTCTGTCCTCTTTAGCCAGCTCCCACAACTGACTGAATTAATAAACTTCATTCTACAGAATGTATTAAATAAATACATTCTGACACTTGGTAAAAAAAAGTGTTGGCTTGCAGCTGGTTTTATGTTTAATGGTAGCGAGCATCGCTGAAGTTATCTTTGAGGGCGCTGACACGACATCAAATGTAACCAAGTTCATTGTTCCCAGAGTGACATCTCTTGTCATAGCCCTAGTTCCTTCTGCTTGTCCTCCATCTCTGGCTTCAAAATGCCTTCGTCTTTTCTGCTCTGTCTCTGGAGAAGTTACTAGTGGTGCTGCTCCCAGTGTGTGCCTTTTACTAAACTTTTACTAACTTTACTAAACTTCTACAGAGAGGCAAGATATTCTTTCATCCTCATTTCTACTGAGGTCGTCTTTTTTTGGTTGTTTCATTTCTGTCACCAATAAATGCACTTTCTGACCCCATTCCAGCTCATTCCCTTCTCCTGAACCTTCATTCCATGAACAACTGTGATTTCAGAGACTGCTTCATTCCTTCTTTCTCTTTTTATTAGGGTCCTGTGAAAATTATTTCATCACACACATTCTTCCCTTTGATTCCTTCGTCTCACTTACCCTCATCATCATTTCTTTTTTCCTTTCTTCTTCCTCAAAAATAAACAAATAATACCGCACATGCACGCCCAAAAGCCCAAACCTTCTCGTCGAATACTGCAGTGCTGCTCAGTCTCTCACCAAAACCCTTCTCAGTCCTCTGCTGCAGCCCAATGTCTAATCCAGGCAACTGATGCTGTTACTCAGGGGTCCTAAGGGATGTACCTCTCTTTCTGTTTTTGCCTCCTTCTCTCTTAGCTCGCACTTCTGAGGAAAATTACACGACTGCTAGGTTTGTTTGCATGCAGTTCGGAAAGCTGGGATTAGGAGTAGAAGGTGGGAGGAGAACACTTTCCCTTAACCTGGAAAAAAAAAAAAAAAAGCTGCTCAAAATTGTTGGCAAGCTGAAAGCTTTTACAACAATCAAATTATTATAATAATAATTTTGGGCTGAGCCTGAAATGAAAATTTTTTTCCTAGTGTGTTTAAAACTGCAGCTTTAAAGAAAATTTCAATACATTTCAACCAAAAGTAATCTCCAGTTAAAAAATATGAAGTGCTGTTTAGATAATAGTAGGTGAAATACTCTGGGATTTTGAGGTTCTTTTTCTTTGTGCTCTGTGAGCTTTACACAGTCGCAGAGTCGCAGAAGAGCACAGGAGGGGTCCCAGGAGGCCACCACCTCTGAATGGCACAGGGGCACTGGCCCTGCGCGTGTCGTTTTTCGGAGTTTTTTCCAACACACTCTGCAGTCTCCCAGGATGAAGACTCTGCAAATTCCCCTGGTAATTTGTTTGCAGTGCTTCGCTACCCTGACCGTGGTGAAGCTTTTCCTGTTGTGTAACCTGGATCTCACTTGCTGCATTTTAAGCTCATCGTTGTGTTGCTTATCCCTAGGAGAGGTGAAGAACAGTTGTTTCCCTTCTCCATATGGAAGCCCTGGTTTTGTATGAGGACTGTTACGACATCGCCTCTCCTCTCGCCTTCCTCTCTCTCAATTAATCAAGTACAGTTCTTTTGAGAAACTTTTCAACCCATCCAAATCTACGTAGTTTTGCAATGCATGTGGTTGCACACAACAGAAGAAAAAACATATTTTTTTCTAGCTCCGACTTTGATTGTCAAAGCCATGTCCCAAGTCTGTGCTTGAAACAGCTCTCTCACTGTTTCCCTGTATGGGTCATTACTTCTGAACCCATCTGTGATGCCTCTACCCTCTCCTTCTTCTGCAAGTTTTCTTCTTAAAACTTCTCCTGCAAGTTTTAAAAGAACATGCATCAGTCAGGGTTGCAGAGGGAGAGGGATTTTTGTTGCAGTTGATCTTTTTACCTCTTTGTCTTACCATGTGACAGTGAAATATTACAGTTGCTCTCTCATCTTACTTTGTGCTGACCCTTATTTTGCCCGAATTTGGATGATAAACTTGTCAGGACGTCAAACAATTCAAAATTTGTTGAAAGCCATAAGCATGTATGTAGTGCTGTGGCTAGTAAGGAGTAAAATAAACTTTCAAATCCAAATCTGCAAAGCCAGCCTCCTCCCTTCTCTGCACAAATGTTTACGTGTTCAAAAATAGATATTATGAGCGCTCTAATTGTATAATGCAGTACAAAAATGTAAAAATGCAAATCTTTATCTGATTTTCAATAACATTCCATTTTTCTGTAGATTTCTGTCAAATAATCAAGTTCCTTCTGTTGTACATATTAAATCTAAAATTAATAGACCCATAATACACTGTGCTAATTTAGTATTGAGAAGTGCAAAGTGACATGATCTGTCATGTATTTAAATTACTCGGCATTAATAAGATTTATTTTAGAATATTGTTTTTTGAAGCCAACCTTAGGAAAACTAAACTTCAGTTTTTAAAGTCTTTAAGGCATGAAAGTTCCAAGCTTTTGGTGATTAACAAACATTATGAAATGCTGTAATATGAACCACAGCTTGACTGAGGCTTGAACTCGAAAACAAAAGGAGGCTTTCTAGTCTATGGTAAAATGGCTTGATAGAAGTTACTTATTTTTTATCCAAAACAGATTTTGGAAATCTGGGGTTTTTTTCTGAGAGAATAATAAATCTCTCAGATTTTGTAAATGTACTGATTATTTTGGCACAACTGTGCTTCAGATGTTTGCAGTTAAACGTACTTCTTTATGAATTTGAGTATATAATTAAAGAAAACCAATCACTATCAAGGGTTTCATAGTTATTTCAAATAGCTGAAAAGCAAGACACTGACTTTCAGTACCCTCCGTGAAGTAACCCACCCAAGGAATTCTGTCGGTTAGACTTCTAAATGTAAAATTACATATGTCTGACAACTGAATCTTTATGCTTTCGCCTATTCAGAATGCGTGCCTGATGATGTGCTGAATATGTCATTCCTGAGACAAAAGGAAGGAGGAGTTATGCAGGACAGAGACCGAAACTTGGTGCATTGTGTTTTTATCTAGTAAGACAAGTCTTGTTTAGAAGGAGGGTTGTGAACTTCAGTAGCCTTAGTAAAGTAGTGGTTCAGACTTCAAATATCACGACACTTCATTTGCGTTAATCATGTTGACATACAGGATCAGATGAGGTTTGACAAAGTTGGGTATTGCAGCCAACTGATATAATTAGACTAGGTCGAACTTCCAAGAACAGATTTGCCCTTTCCCATAGTTGTGTGAAGTCAGACCAAGTACAGGAATGCGATAATTTGCCATGTAGCTTTGTTTCACAAAGGACCCGTTTCTTCTAGAAGTAGCGAGGAAAAACATCGCAGTTGAAAAGAATAAGGTTCTGAGATTTCACACAGTTTTGGCTTTCAATTTCTAGTGTTATTTAGGTCTGAAGCCAGCTAGTAAGCCAGCCAGCTAGTATGTGGGCCAATATCACGTTAGGAAGAGCCAGGGTTGCAAATTGATATTGGTGAAAGTCTGCCTCAACATCTTCCATCAAGTTGAAAAGCCGTGTGTATCTTGTTGTGTGAGAAAGAGGCCGCGACACAATACAGCAGCCGACCCATTCAGCTGAATACGTACCACTTAAATATTTAAAATTATTTAGGTGCATTAAGTGATTCTTAAGTGATTAAGTGGTGCATTAAATGAAAAGACTGAGAGGGGGCGGGTGTCGAGAGGACGGGGCCAGATTCTTTTCAGTGGTGCCCAGCGACAGGACAAGGGGCAACGAGCACAAACTGGAACGCAGGAAATTCCATCTCAATGCGAGGAAAAACTTCTTTACGTTGAGGGTGGCAGAGCCCTGGCACAGGCTGCCCAGAGAGGCTGTGGAGTCTCCTTCTCTGGGGATACTCAAAACCCGCCTGGATGCGTTCCTCTCCAACCTGCTGTAGGTGACCCTGCTCTGGCAGAGGGGTTGGACTAGATGATCTCCAGAGGACCCTTCCAACCCTGACCATTCTGTGATTCTGGCTTTCTCAGAGGTTGCATTTCCTCATGGAGCAGAGGCTTGGGTAGCCGTGAGCTGTGTCCACCTGCGGCAGATGTTTATACGGCTGTGCTGGAGGAGAGATGCAAGTGGGGCGGTGGCAGCGCAGGGAAACATAGGCTGGGGACTGCTCCAATGTAAAAGTTCAAGCAGACTGAAATGTGACTTCCAGGCTCTGCCAAGTGAAACGTGGGACACCTGTTGCCCGCCTTAGAAAGGAAATTTAGAGCTGATCTATATGGTGTCAAGCATATAGTCTTATGGACATAGCATGGTCAAGCAAATTAGTCTTAGTTTGCACCTTTTGGGGCAAAAGTGTGTATATCAAGCCTCATATTTCAGCATAAAATACTCTCTTTCAATTTTGCTTAAGTTGGACTAAGGTCCTTTCCAACTGAACTATTCTATTCTAGTCGATTAATTGATAAAAAAGATTTTTAGGAAGGCAAATCACTTTTCCTTTTCCTATGTGCCAGTGTAATTCCTGAGGCTGTGTGCATGGTAAGAAACTTTCCTCCTTTTCTTCAGAAGGAGTGGGGCTGAACAAACTTGACTGCCTTGGGCTGAGTCCTGACTGCTCTACTTGGCCCACTCACCAACGTTTCTTAAATCCCAAGCCCCGCATTCCTGTGTTTTGTAACGTTTGTCCTCTGTAACCACAGGGTAACAGAATACGTTCACGAGAGAAAATACAACCTGTCAGTCAAGTACACACATTAAATATCTCTGTGTTCGATCTCAGTTTGTGTTGGGTGAAGCCAGACAGGAGACTTTCAGTTCCTTCACCTGGATAACGTCTAAGAAAAGCGGTCCCCAGCAGCCACAGGGCTCAGGTAGTTGCTTAGCGGTCACTTCAGACCAGGCACGGGATCAGCAGCAACCCCTTCAGGGCTGGAGTTGTTTAGGAGCTCACTCCGATGGGCAACTTCTAAAGATCAGGAAAGTCAGGGAGAATGTTTTAAAAAGCATCATCCTGGTTTTTCTGTTTAAATGAAAAGTAGCGTTATTTTTTTTAATTCACTTTATTTCCTTATGCCTGCATCCTAAAAATAGCAGACCCCCAATGGCTTCACATTTAAATTATGTGTAATCAGGTTTGTCTGTAGAACCATCAAGAAACACTAATGTGATTTTTTTACCTTTACCAGAAAGCAGGTTTTGTTTACTGGCAGGCTTTAACATATAAAGTGTACGGGGTTTGTTGATGCATTTTGTGTATTTTCCCTAATTCTCTAATTATGTACATCCCATCTTTTCCAATCTCAGTTGAGTAACACTGTGTACATGTGCTTGAAATGCTGCAGAAATAATTTTAGTCCTGTGCACATAGGATACAGTTTTGCAGTCCTTGCAGAGGTCGCATTCGAAATACTCTCACTTTGCTGAATTCAGGAGATATTAAGCGTTAAATTGGGCTGTGGTGGATTTGAATTCAAATATCCTGTTTTTCGTTGCAGGCACCTCTTCCACAAGTCCTGTGTAGACCCCTGGCTGTTAGACCATCGTACCTGCCCAATGTGTAAAATGAATATTCTCAAAGCTCTGGGGATCCCGGTAAGCATGTCACAGAGCAGCCGGTCGGGGCAGAAGGGCAACACCAGCCACTTGGATGTATCCCTAGCCCTTTGCCTGTCTGTTCCCATCCTACTCTTCTTGCCATGTTATTGATTTATTCATTGATTTATTAAGAGGAGTACAAGCTGAAATGTCTGACTCTACCTTTTGACGGGGGTCGGTTGGGTCTTGGGATTTGTGTGTCTGTGGTTGCCTGCTTTTGTGGAGCAGAGGGTTGTCTACTGGTGTTTTGGTGGATTTATAGATTCTTTCACATAGCTTTTGGTTGTGTTTTAGATCAGAACTGGATTTATTTTCTTAATCACGCTCTCTGTTCAAATCTCTGAGCAGAAGGTCTGCAAATAAAATTTTCCCTGCTGTACTAGTCGAGGACAACTAATTACTTACTCCGGGGAACCAAATCTTTTTTTCTCTCAGATTTCTCTTAAAGTCTATCTGTAGCAAGCGCTGTACTCCTAATTCCAATTAGGGAGCCTTTCTCCCAGTAACTAAGCATGTGGCGGACCACATGACATATAAGAAATTGTTAAGCTCTTTGTTATTTGGAACATTCAGATGCGGTTAGAAGCTGCCGAAGCAATTGATCTTTTTAGGGTGCATGTTTACTAGCGCACGTCCTGGCTACCATAGGGTTCCCTAACCACAGGGGCTTCTCCAGGAAGAAGTGAGTCACTTTCTCACACCATGCGAGGCACGCCACGTGATAGTGAAGTTCAATACTGAAACACCACCGGTCGGCGCATAAACAGGTGCTGTAAATACCCTCCCCAGTTACAGGTGGCGACATGCCAGCTCACGTATGAAAGAGCTATATAAAGTAAAATAGCTCACGTGAGCATATTAGGGGAGCTGATGGAGCCATTCCCCAGGAGTTCATTTTCATGCAGACTAGGAAGCCAAGCAGGTTGCTGCAGAAGAGGTTCCGTAGCAAGTGATGAAGTATGTTTTTACTGAAGTAGGCAGATATGTTAATCAACCTCGTATAATCCGAGCTAAAAATATGCAATGGGGTAAATGAAGTCGAGCATTGTAGTTAGGGTAACATGTCATTGCAGTTGGGCTACTTTTTCTGCTAAGTGCATATATTATCTTTAGACTATTGAAAGATGATACAACTGTTAAATCAGTATTTGAGATGTCAGGAAAGGCCGGAATGAAGGCTGGCTCTGCCATTCAGCGTCTCTGCGCCTAGCCTTAGATACAGAATTTTTTCCCCAGGTTCCATGTCTCAGTTCACAGGCCTGCCAGTGAGCAGTTACCCAGGATTTTGACACCTCTTCTCCATACCCGGTATATTGTTCCATGGCTTCTTTCTGCAGCATGTATGACCGCATGATTTCTGCTCTCACTGATCCCTTCCCATTTTTACCCAAGCACTATGTTAATATGCTCTTTCTCCAGGTGCATAATCAGGAGATATAGACAAATGAGACCTCCACTTTTTGGAGGCCTGCAGTGAGATTTTAAGGTCTTTCCAGAAAGTTTAGTACTGCCAGTCAGTATTTACATCCCGAATACAGCTCTCACTGACTTCACTGACAGCTGCTGAAGGCTCAGCATGTCCGCAGGCTGTCTGAGGCTGGGTACATCGAGAGGAAGGGAAAACACACCCAGAGGCCGTGTGTAGAGGTTTCGGTTGACATGACTGGCTTTTACTACATATGAACAGCTCTGCAGCAGCAGGTATAGGACCTAATTGCCAGGAATAATTAAAAGTGCCATTCAGTTTCCTCAGCCGTCATTTCTCTTCTCACAGCTCCCTATCTCGTTCTCTCTGTACCACGTAACACCAGGGAGAGTCATTCTGCTCCCTTCACTGAGAGCTTTCCGCATGGAGCTTCTGTGGAAATAATTGTACTGGGCATGTAATTAAAGATACTGCTGTAACCAACATAAACAACTGGGTCAAATTAAGATTTCAGAATCAGCCTTAGTGCTGGTCTGTCTTAACGCTAAAAATCAAGTGCTTGGATGGTAATGTTCCACTAGCCGTTTGTTTAGAGGATTTTATTGTTTGAATTTCTGTAAAAATTTCCCTAGGTTGTTCTGAGAGAACAAACTGAGAACAGCCCGCTCCATCATTTGGAGGAGGCATACCGGCTCCCACCCACAAGGATGGTCAGTTAGGGTCACGAAGGAAGAGCTGCATACTAGAGCCTTACCCCGCGAGGTGGCTTACAGTAGGAGCTGTTGTCCATGGGAACTGGGAGCAGATGGTAGCCTTCATGTCAGGGGTTTCCTCTGGCTGACAGCAAAGAAAGTGGGAGTCTGAGAGCATCTGGTAGCTTGGGGGTTAAAAATTCCTGTACTGCTGTCAGTTGCTCCTCTTCCTCGCTTTTCTCTGCCTTCTCTCTCTAAAATATGCCTCAGCTCCTGACTCTCCCTCTCCTACCTCATGCCCTTTCCCACCTCTCCTCTGCATAACCCCTCCTGCCCAAGCTTCTTCCTTTTGAGCTCCTGCCTTGGTGCCGCTGCTCGTGCTCCCTGCTCAGCTCTCAGGACCTGTTCTCCGCCCACCCAGAAATTGTGTGTCCTCACCTTTCTCGCTGCCCAGCACCAGCTGAGGACAGCCCAGGGTGGGCATCGGTCCTGGTTTTGGTGCTTTCTGGTGCCACCATGAGCTTCCCAGCACCACGCAAAGCCCTCTTCTCTTTGGAGAGTGTGGTTGTCAGTCCCAAATAAGCCACCAGCCTCTATCAGCACACATGAACTGATATTTTCAGAGGCTCATAACTTAGCCAGATGTCAGTAGGCTCTTGTGGGAAAGCACATTTCCCTGGAAGAATCTGTAAAGCTCTAGGGCTTCTCAGTGAGAGGTGGCAAACGTTTCTGTGGAGTGGATAAAGCAAAATGCCATTCCCTAATCATAACCTTGAGTCTTGCTGAGCCGTCTTAGCTGAAATTTCCACACACAGAGAAGCAGCCTTAGGCAGGCAGCAGTCTCTGATGGGAGACTTGAGCGCAAATTTGCCAAAGTCCTTTTGCAGGCTTTTACAATGGAAGGAATGAGGAAATCTTACCATAGCAGGGCTAATATGGTTTTCTTTCCTGCCAGCTGCATCTTTGTCCTATGGTTGTTATTAAAGAGCTGGCTTGTGTGACTGCGGATATATTGTGCTTAACTTATCAGGAAGACTGGGGATTTTCCAGGAGATGATTGGTTAAAACCCAAATATCGAAATGTTTCAAATTCAGTTCACATCTAAACTCTCCGTTTAGTTTGTAACAGAGCCTTCAAATATTATCTGCCCTAAAACCAGATTCCCCAGGCTGCCGCGAGGCACCAAAATGACTGCACTCATTTTCACGGTGGCTGAGCACCCCAGCATCTCCGCTTTTCACCGTGACTCTCTGACACTCCAAGGATTATTAACTAACTATCCATCAGCAAACGGTTGGTGTAACCTTTTCCACTGTGTCTTCGCTGGTGAATTCAGCTCAGACTCTACCTCTTTTGGCTGTAATATTTGAAGTGGATTATCGGCGAAAGTGTCTTTCACTTTCAAAAAGGGACATTGCTATTGGGTTGATCATATCGCATAAAATAGTTTCCCTCCGCTTCTCCCCCTTTTCTGCAAATATCTGCTGGATATGCAGACAGCTGCATTTTTGGCAGCAGATTGGATGACTTGAAGCTATTCACTAAGAGCCTTAGCCAAGCCCTCAGAAGTCAATACAAAGCCTTCCCTTGACTTTAGTGGAATTGTGCCCTTAAAGCACTTACATGCAGGGAATGAGTGAAACCAATATAATTAAACTTAGCAAATGTATCTGGGTCACTCTGACAGCAAAAGCCATAATGTATTTTTTTCGATCAGTACTTCATATCATTAGTTTTATAGTATGCTGCTTAGTTTGGGGTATTTTTTCCAACTAAAATGATTCAGGAGTAAAGGGATTAATTATATCGAGCAATGCTATTTTTGCATCTTTAATGTTTGGTTTGGCTTTCAATTATAATCCCCCGTTTTTAAAGATTTAAAAGTTGGTGATAAAACCCCATTCTCGGAATAACTGGAATCAGAGCAAAGGACAGACAACTGATCCCCTGAAAAAAATTGAAATGGTTTTTCCTAGAGTAAAGAAAAAAAAAAAGGCTTTTTTCTTTAAGATACACTGCCATCAAAGCCAAATTTAAGTTAAAAATGAAATTTAGAAAGCATTTGTTGCAACAACTAAGGGTGAGGGAGAGAGTGATAGATCTAAGAAATAATTCTGGATCCAAGTCCTACAGATAAATGATTCATATTTCACTTAGAAAAGTACAGGTTCAATGAGTTTCATTAAAACCTGGTACAGCTGAATGTGCCTTTATCCCAGTTCTGAGGAGCTCTCGCTGCTTGTGGATTAGACTGGAGCCAGACAACGACAATTCTAATTTTTATTCCAAACTTTACTTTGTGGATACGAGTCACCTGAGGAATGTTTAAAAGGCCTCCCTTTTTCATTAGGAGCTTTTGTGAAAAAATATTTATGAGGTGTCAACAATCAGACAGGGAACGTATGGGAAGAGAGAAAACACGCTATAAGTTCCTGGTTCTGCAAAAAAATGTAAGCATATGGTAACCTTTTATGCCTGAGTTCAAAGGGATTACGCTTGTGCTTAAAGCTAAGCCTCTGTCTTTGCTGTATCATATTTTGCTTAGTTTCTAGGTGCCTGCTGTTGGAGATAGGCAGGCAGTGAGGTTTTCAAAACTGCCTTAGCAAGTGAGGCAACTAAGCATAGCAAAAATCAGATCCACTGAGGAGAGCGCATCTCCTCTGACTTCAGCCATCCAGATGTTGCATTTCCAGTCTCGCAGCATAAGCCCCATCTCTGCTTAGTGCTGAGGAGTGGGAAGACAGAGGGGGCAATTCCTACCATTTACCTTAGGGTGGGATGAGTCACACAGAGAAATTGTCTCAAACCATTGAAGTTAGGGGAAACCTAAGTGACTGATCCAGATGAGCTGTCTGACTCCTGGACAGTAAAGATAAATGGGAAGAACTTAATTTTACGTTTCCTAACTTAACAAGGGATCTGTAATTGCAGTTCAACCTTGCTATGTCCATCTGTCATTTTGGAAGCTTTGCACCCTCACACACAGCATCCTCGTTTCTGATTTAGCCTTGGTTTTGTTACAATATGTTAAAACTTCAAAACCCAGTTCTTGAAATAGTTATGCAAACAATACTTCTCCGTGTCTTGGGGAGAACCAGACCGGTTCTATGGGCAAATGGCACAAGAATCTGTTTCCTCTCAGAGGAAAAAGAGGTTTTTTACTCTCACGTTTTTGTCTCCAATGTTTATGGGGAGCTCCATAGAAATCACTGCTGTATGAATGGGAGCATCAGGCTTAAAACAGGCCCAGAGAAATCAAGGGTAGAAACTAGTCTTGGCTATAGTGTCTCTGGACAAACGATCCTTTCTGCCGCCCAGCGCCCGCTTGAAGTCTCAGTGCTCTTTGTGCTAAGGACTCGATGCTAAGCATACTGTGCAAAAGGCGGGCACCACAGCCCCCTCTCATTGCTTCCCTGTAACGTCCATGGAAAGGCAGAAGCGTGACTTGAAGAGCTTGGCTCATCCTGGAGGTGTTGGTGCAATTTGCTGTGTAACTGCAAGAGAGAAGTGTCTAAATTCCCCGGAACTGGGTTCCATCCTTGGTCTCTCCGAATCAGAAAGCAAGAAAGACTATGGATCAAATAATACTCTCTGATTGCACGTTATTACTTGTTTGTTTCTTTTCTCATAATTTTATTTGGTAGGAAATACAGCATTAGCAAAGGAAAAGGTCTTTTGATGTTAAAAAACTTGTCTTATAAACAGCTTTAGCTTCTATTTTTGCACCGCACACATAGATGTGCCCCCACAGGCGTTTCCCTTCAATTCCTATTCCTGAAAGCTCTGATATCGGCTCTATAAAATGTCTATTTAGGGAAAAGATAATCATTCCCCTTCAGCTACTGTCTCTGTTTACATTTGTAATCTGACTCAGCAATCTGCCTATGTTAAGCAGATCATATCAATAAGTGAGTTACTTTTTTTAATGTGCACTCTCCCAAACCCTGTAAAAACCATAAATAAGAATATTCAGAGATTGTAGGTGACACAGTTTAATACTGATTTTTTCCAATGCATACATTGGGTCTTTCTTGCAACAGATTGTATTAAGTACATGAAAACAAATAAACTGTGCATGTTTATTCATCATCATATGTTGCCATTTTCAGTACTGTAAGAAAGCGAAAAACCCCAAAGAAGTGGAAACAGTTGAATTAAACCTTTTTATCAGGTAAAAGCTCAATTTTCTTCTTTTTCTTCCCATTAGCCAAATGCAGATTGCATGGATGATATACCTCCAGACTTGGAAGCGTCCATAGGAGGACCGCCAACCAACCAGATAACGGGAGCCAGCGATATAACAGTGAACGAGAGCTCTGTAGCCCTGGATCCCCCGGTGCGGACTGTGGGAGTACTACAGGTCATCCAAGATGTAGATTCCTTTCCCCAGGTTGGGGAAGGTAACTTCACAACAAGCAGTAAGTTCCTCTTTCGGGCAGAATTTGCACTGAAATAAATGTTTAGAAACCTGAATCACAAACCGATCTTTATTACGGGGGAAAAAATAGCCTTTGAGGGCTTTTTCACTGGAGCAAAGGCCTTACTTTAAGCCCAGTGGAAATCTACAGGGTAAGTAAATTTAAGTATCATGGCATTCTGCTGTGGTGCACGCGCTTCCAGACAGCGTCCAAATCAGTGTGTTGACTAGCAAACTAATTGGAGTGCCCTGCGTGGACAGAACAAGCTATTTCAGTCAACATAAAACAATATAAACTTATGGTTGTCTTCAGATACTGTTTATAGTAAGTGATCCCATTTACCATGATAACCCACAGTGCATCACCTGGATTCTTCGTGAAGCAAATTGGTGCATGTCCTTTGGCCTGCCTTTCCTCACTGGGCTACATGTTACCATGTGGGAATTATTCTTACGGGCTTATCATAAAATAAATAGTGAAGCCAGCCATCACTTTTGCTGCCTTTGGTCAAGAAAAAAAAAGAATGTTGAATTCTGGTTTTGCCTTTCCTGTATCTTCTTACATGAACTGAAGCTCATCTGGTTATTTAATCATACTTGAACTTATCATTTCAGAAGAACTGATGGTCAGAGTTCCTGTACTTGAAAACCTGAGAGTAGTGACATAACACTGCCAATTTGTACAAAAAAGGGAGAATTTTGGATGTTTTCAGTGTGTTTAGTTTTTATTTGTTTAAGGGGCACCATTTGAACCAGTAACTCAAAATGTCTGCATGTCTCTCTGTTCCTGAAAAGGATGTTCTTTGTTGAAAGTCTGCTTCTGACAGCTTAAAAAGAATGTTGTCAGCTGTTTTGAGTGAGGATTCTACTAGTCTAAAATTCTCATTTTTAGGTAAAATAGCAGATCAGTAGAAAATACATGTCTGTTTGATACCAGTTGGTGTATTAGTATTGACAAGACTATTGTAGAAAATCATTAGATATACTTGAAGGTAGGTAGAAGAGTGTGATAAAATACAGGTTTATGTATAGAGTCAGTATAGGTCCTGGAGAAAATGACACATTTTTAACAATTTCTAGGTACTACTCTGGGCCTGGGCGTGAAAAATAAGGCAAGTAGTAATATGTGTAAAAGGTAGGAGCGAGATGAAGGGACTGGGCTGAAATGATTTTACATTAGTCTCCTTACTCTGTGGAGAGAGTTGATAATCGCATTTTCCCTCATATTGCAGCCAGTGTCAGGGCAGTGAAAGTGGCTTCTGGAAATGCTGGACTTGCGACCTTAGCCACAAGTGACCCAGCAGCAGATTTTTTAAGTTCACTCTTTGTGGGTTAGATACTGGTTTCAGGTTTGGTCCTTTTATGATCTTAAGTCCTGGATGCAGCCAAGGGTTGAGCAGCAAAGCTATAGGCCCAGCTGTCCTCCATGACCAGCCTGACTGCTGGTGGCACACAACCTTCTCAAGCCTCTTTGAGTGCTGACAAGAGCTCTTCAAAACGAGATGTTGTTTTGTTCCTTCCAGTAATTGTTTTTAAATGCATTTGAGGCTGATTTAAACCATGAAGGAAAGATTTCACTTCACGGTACCACAATGTAACTAAAGACTGGGCTGTACCCTCTTAACGCTCCTGAAGTGAGTAGCTCCTCTGGCAGATAATTATCCTTGTCCTGCTGTTCTTTACAACTATTGAAGTTGGGAAGGAGGGCCATGGTGTGCCCTTTACACCCACAGCTGCATGGCACACGCTGAGAGGAGCCGGCGGCCTGGTGGAAAGCCCAGCACTAGGGGTAGTCCATGCTTTCCATCCCACGATCTTGGCACGCCAAGAAGCAGTTCTGGTTTGTCATCAGGGGTAACAATGGTGGTGAGGCAGCCAGGGAGTACAAAAGCTCGGTAACTCTCCAGCCACTCTCTTCCCCTCCAGTTTTGTTTCCAGGGTCTGCAGAGGGACCCGTGTCAATCCAAATACATTTGTTCTTCATTTTCCAAGTTGCCAGCTAAGTCACTGGGTGAAAAACTTGCTCCAAGCTAGCAGAGTACTGCAGAGATGCTTTATTTTGCCTTCGTGCCCTCCGTTTTTCCCCTCACTTTTAATGACATTGGACAGTAGTCATTAACACTGGTCAATCCTGAGGGCTAACAGCAGAGCCTGTGGACGAGGAGCTCGCACCAAGACCCGTGGTCTGTCCAGGCACACGGGTAATGAGGCCGCAAAACGTGGAGTTCCAGAAGATCTCCGTCACCTGAAGAGGCTGGCCACGTGGCCTGGGGAAGGACTGTGAAAAAGGGGATTTCCCTGGTTATTTGAGAGAGAGAGAGAGAGAGAGAGACGGAGACGAGAGCAGGGAGAGGAAACTCGAAGATGGCCTGAGCTCTGTGAAGGTGGTGAGCCTTACACCGTCACAGGAGTGGCTGGGGGACCCACTGCTAAAAGCAGAACTTTCCAGTTGTTTTGTGCGGAAAGAAGAGTCCTGAGAAAAGCTCAAAGGGCCTTGGGAGCTTCACAACCCTGGTGCATGCCTGCCTACGCTGCACATGTCACATACAGTCACTCAGGGAACTCTGGTTTGATGCTTGGTTAGCTGTTGTCACTCATCCATCATTGATACGTAGACATGAATCTTCATCTGGATTTCTCACCTCAAAGCGCAATGCAGTATTTGAATATCAGTCAGTAGTAGGTAGGTGCGCAAGTCTGCATGCTGTCATCACCACATCCAAAGTGGTGCAGTTTGCAGTAGTTGCCAGAAACAGTGCCTTTTGGTCCCTTTTTGCAACAGAGCTGCAGCAAAGAAGAGGTCTTTGGTTGGGAGTTAGGGGCCGAGTTATAGATGGGGCTTTATAGGCATTGTGTCTGTTTATTGTGTTCAGGCATTGTATTTCTCGTTTCCAGAATCCTCAATAGTTACACAACTGAGCTTGCTGAGCGTGCCCTCTCTGTGAACTAGCCTGCCTGGGAATTTGTAAGCGATGACGCTGATTGCTCCTAGGAATCTTTGCTGAAGTTGCTAGGTTCTGGCCTCTTTATATAGCCTTAGTGACGGGAGCACACTGCAAGGCTGAATCTGTGCTAGAAGTTTTTCTTCCTCTTGTTATTGAATCTGTTCAGACTGCCTCTAGTGCAGTCTTGACGTGGCACCCTGTACCCAGCACCACGAGTCTTTGCATCCCTCCTTATTCCTGGCAAAGTTTAGTGGTCCAGGAGGTAAAGGACTTGCCTTCTTCTTTCCACCCACTTCTGCAATACTTTTGGCTTAATTGTTGTTGCATCCTTTTTGTTTGTTGATTAATTGTCGTGGTATTGTTGTCTTGTTTTGGGTTTAATTTCCCTTTCTGAGTTTCCAGTGAGTATTCAGAGCCAGAAGAGCTCCCACAGTGTGTCTGGAGGGAGGATATTTCCAGAGTAGTGTTCACATCGAGTGAAATCCTGTCTCCATTGAAATCTGGTGGCAAAGCTCCCACCTATTTCAGTGGGGCCAGATTTTAATTTCTGGAACTTGGCCAGCGCTTTTCTTTTTATTTCTGTGTGTATGCTCAGCAGACGTTTCCTTGTTCTCCCTCCCTTTTTCTCCCCATGCTCCTGGATAGATGATGTCTACCATGGGACCCTTGGCAACATGGTGTACTATGAACATCTGGATGGGACCTCATTTGGGGGTCAATCCCCAGGGTTCCTTGCTAAACCAAGCATCTCCTGTGTAGTAACGCTGAGCACTTAAAATGGACCAGCAGTTTCTCTCAGCTGGCTTCTACCAAGATCCAAGCCTTCATCAAGTCCCTTGGGGCGTATCTACAGCCCAAAGTCTGTTCAGTATATAGTCTTAGTGACCGTTTGCTCTCTGTGGTGGGATTTTGTGCAGGATCCTGGGATAGTATCTTGTAATTTGATATTTCTGTAATCAGTTGCTGAAAACGGATGGATGGAAAAATTGAAAAACTGGAGTTGGAAAAAAAAAGGGGGGTGTGTGAAAAAATTGTTTGAAATACATGAGTTAATCTCAGCTGAGTTTCCTGCTGTGACCTTACTAGTTTTCAGCTCTCCAGGGGGTATGAAAGAAGATAAGCTAAGGATCTTTTTCCACAAATGCATCATAGCAATGCGTTGCCAAATTTTTAGTAGTGAGATATAGAAAATGCTAACATCTTTGGAAATTTCATTGCAGGTGGAATTTCCTGCTCTGTAGATGATGTTAGTGTGAGCTGGACTTGGCTAAGATCTGAACTTGAAGAAGCTCTGAGCTACTCCATCTTTGGAGGAGTGGAAGGTGGATTTGGGATTTGAGGAGGACGTTGCAATATTCTTTGAGTCAGGCTCAGCTGGGACTGAGGGATGTGGTTTAAAATGGTAGTTCACTGGGAAAGTAGCACCTAGATATTTTAAAGGTTGTGTGGTGACACTTGCAGGGGAAAAACTAGTTACTATTTTTTTTACTCTTTTATAGCTTCCCTGGTCATTCATCTCCCTCAACCCATGTGACACTTGCTAATTTCTGCAGCAGATTTGTAGTCTTTGCTCTGTGTTGGTTAATACCACCAGTTTTTCAATTTAGACAAGCTTTTATTTTCTCTTTAGCGGGATGTCTCATCACACTGCATAAGGCTTCAGAAATCCCACCAGCGCTGTCTCTGTAGTTGGAAGAAGATCCATAAATAATTCTACTGCAAACATGGGCAGGAGTTTTAGTATGAAAAACCACAAACTGTCCCCCACGGTGTCATATCGCCTGCAAAGTCCACCGAGTTTGGCGGGCTGTACAGCAGTGTGGGCAGTCTAGAGAATACCGGCAGTTCCTTTTCTGCCTCTCATTTTGTTCTTTCCATAAAACCCTGTCAACGTATAACTTGTCGTGACTGTTAGGACACTTTCAAGTCTCTTTGATAGCTCTTCATTAAATCTATTAATATAACTTCTGAAGTAATTATTTTGATCTGTATGTGTCTAAAATGTCTTTGTGAAGAATAATCAGTCTTCGTAAGTGGATGAAAGTGCACGATAAGA